CTACTTTTAGCTATATTTCATTCTAGTCACAGAGATTTCCTTTTATGTTGGTGTTGAACATAACATGTCAGGTACATAGAAATGTTGCCATGAGAACATCATTTATACTTTATTTTTTTCTCTTATTTGCAGTGTTTGTAAGCATGTTTTGTCAAGACTGATGCCTTTGGTATTTGTATGCAATACAGCAGTTTGTATGATTTCATGGCAGTGACACCACACCCCCACATGGGAGCATGCAGGATTTGCCATGGAGGTGAGACATAATACGAGACCGAATTCCAGAGAGGGACTAATGTTAAGGGTATAAAAGTAAAGTTAAATACATGATGAGAGGGGGGTTTCACACAGGTAAAACCGGTTTGCCTCAGATTGTGTAGTAGAGTGAAAATTGTACAGATTATATAAATGTGCAAAGATTAATATCTGTCAGGATGAAGAATGTCTCTGAAGTGACGTCTTTTCATCTGTATGCTTACTATGGAATGGAAGAGCTGAAGCCATTGTACTTTTTCATTTTCCTTATGATATACATCACCATTATTGTTGAAAATGTCGTCTTAATCGGTGTGATTTATCATGAAAAAAGCCTGCATGAGCCCATGTACTTATTGGTGTGTAACTTGGCAGTGAATGGTCTGTATGGAAGCACAGCTTTACTGCCAGCAGTCCTGAGCAACCTGTTGTTACGCTCATATGACATATCTCTGGCACTTTGTCAGACACAGATCTATGCAGTACACACATATGCCATAACTGAATTCACAATTCTTGCAGCGATGAGTTATGACAGGTATGTGGCCATTTGTTATCCACTGCTTTATCATGCCATCATGTCACAAAGACTTGTTAAACTGATTGTTTTTACCTGGCTCTTTCCCTTACTTGCCTTTTTAATTGTTTTTTTTTTCACTCTTCAGCTGAGGTATTGTGAAAGAACAATTGAAAAGTTGTACTGCATGAATTACATTTTAGTCAAACTGGCCTGTTCTGATACGTCGATTGTCAACATAATCGGTCTGTTATCTGTAGTTGCGTACACAGTTCCACAGATTTGTATGATATTTTATTCATATGCACACATCCTAAGAGTATGTTTAGCGTCATTCAGCAAGTCCAAGCTCAAAGCCCTCCGGACATGCACTCCCCACCTACTAGCAATAGTTAACTACGCAATAGGTTGCTTTTTAGAAATAGCACTAAGTCGATTTAACACAACTGGCCTTCCTTACCAAACCAAGTTGTTTCTGTCTTTGTACTTTTTGATATTTCCACCAATTCTTAATCCAGCCATCTATGGGCTGAGTATTCATTTTATAAGAGTACGACTGTTCAGGCTTTTAAGCAGAAAAAGAAGGATAGAAGCAAACTAGTAAAGATTAGAGTGATGTTGCTGCTCTGCTTCAAAATGTGTTCTGAAACCTATGGCATGTGGAGTCTTTTGTCTCTCCTTTTTATTTAATCCCTATTGCTTTTTCATTTACTGAGACAAAACTATACCAGACAGCACAAAGAAAAAGTAGTGTTAATTCATGTTATACCACGTAGAATTCCTGTTGCATAGCTGGCTGAAGCTGAGACTTTGTGCATATGATGAATTGAGTGTTAATCAGTTTGTGTAAACCTTTGCAGGACAATAGATTATAATGTATTTGTACAGACATTATTTTAATCTTCGCCTCACTGCTTATTGAGATATATCACTAGAATGTTTCTTTTTACTGAATGGTCAAATATTTTTGGTACAAGTAAATGCAAACATTGACTAATTCAAATGTTTACCTTTTGACGTCCAGTCTTATGTTTTTTAGGTATTAGATCATGCAAATTTAATCTGGAGTGTAGTGTTCAGAGTACCTTAGTCACATTACTGTAACATCATTTATATAAACTCATTTCAGGCTGCCTATAAGTGCATAGAAATATTGAGCTTGTTTCAAGTAGAAAGCTTGATATAAATTCTAACACAGATATGTGTAGAAGTTCTTCTTGAATAACGTGCTAAAGTTATTAAAGCATATTATCATGAATCATCAATTGTTGCATCTGTTATCTCGTGTTGTTCACTGAAATATTTTAGTTACAAAAAAATCAGGAAGGGATCTTGATAGGAACTTTTGAAAATTGGCATTGAATGTTGAATGTGCAATAAAATGTATGGGAAAGAAGATTAATTTCACTGCATCACAGTTTCAAATAACTTTTTACATGTCATATGAATGATAAAATCTTTAATTTGGGCCAAATCCTATGGGTTTATAAACACAATGACTGTAACATTTACCTAAGATTATTTCACCATTTAATTAGTGGGACCTAATTGCTTACCAATTTAAATAACATTTGCACTTTTAGCATCATTTTCTATCATTATCCAAAAAGATAAAGGAACTTGGAACAATTTATTACTGTTTCACATTGGCACATTAATTGTATATATAATAAAATTAGGTTTACTATTTGATATTTGTATACATATAAATAGAACACTGTCTTTTTATTAATCCTCTTCTGCATGATTTCTTTTGTTAATTTAATTCTATGGCGCCACCTCATGGCACAAATGTGCAATGTCAGTCAATTTCCAATCGTACGGTAATATGTTTCATTTATAAAACATATGCTTTCTACATTAAAATTACTTCATATCACAAGTAAAACAGCGGCTAAAACTGAAGCAGGTTTGTGAGCATTGAGGGTTAGGGTCATTTTACTGTTTGGTCTTATTTAGTCTCTTATTTGAATTGAGTTTATAATGTCTGTGTTTGTATAGTATCATTGTTTCTACATTTCTTTAAGTCTAATGATTTTGTTTTAATCCTGTTTTGTTTTACGGTTATACTGTCTAAACAGTCAGTTGTAAATTTGGTCAGTACCATATTTACAGTCTATGGTCAGTAGGCCTACAATTTAATGCTATAAGAGACAGCACTAAAAAGCAGATACTGTCAGCAACCGAATCTAGCGCTTGTATTTTATGAATTCCACCATATCTTTCACTGATAGGACTGATTTTAACTAGATAATGAGCCGTACGTAGAAGTTGTTTTCTTAAGATAAAAAACGGTTCATATGACCCTAAGGGGGTGATTCCAAACCATAATATTTACAGTCTATGATCCAAACTGCTCTTTGCCAGCTGTTCCATTGTTTTCCAGCAGGTAGGCTAGGTGGTGCTCAAATTGCAACCAAATCTGTACTCAAACTTACAACCTATTGAAACTACAACCCTGGCTGCTTCTGATCTTTCATTGACAATGGGACACAAGCTGTGTGTGGCGTAGCTAGATGTGTAGTAGCCAGTGCAAGCAGGAAAGGTACAGTAGCCTATATGGAGAGGACATTAAACGGTTAACTCCATAACAGAACATTACAATTAAATAGCCTATAATCATGACAGAAAATGTTAGACCGTGAAAAACAGAATGAGGCTCTGAAATCTCATAGTGCAAAAAAGTAAAAATACAAATCTATCCACTTTATTCTTAGCCCCCATGGTACTTTGCGTGAATTATGGACGCCACTTCTGGTGCTTTCTGTCACTGAACCCGGAACTGGTGTTTGCTATTAGCAATGGGACACGTATTCTGAATGAGCAACTTGGAGATAAAAATGTTGGAACATCATCTGTTTCACCTCAAACAAGATAATGTGATCATCATCCATGTGTGAATTTGAACAAGTTAGCAAACAATTTAGAACATTTGTCAAATATTTGGCCTTTTTAATCATTAATCAGATCATTTCATTTTTCTACACACAGGTAGTTTAACTTAAAATGTTTAGTTCATGCTGCCCTGCACTCAGCCATGAATCGCCCTAATGTTAAATTAAACTGTAAAGACAACAATAAAACTAACGTCCTGTCGGTCTTCCCACACCAGAAATCCTAACGGTACCTGATGTCCTCCTGGCACTGCTGTCACTCTTTTTTAAGACACAACGTTTCTTGTCCAATGGTCTGTCGTAGCCCGTAAAAGGGGTGTATGATTGGCAGATTCAAGAGGGACCTGGACCTTAACCCTTTGAAGAGATATAATGCTGATCTATCTGGGCGGGGGTATTGCTGAACCTAACAGTGCCCTGGGAGGGGCGAATGCAGGAGGCCAGAGAGCGGCAAAAGTAGGAATGAACAGAGCTGATTGAGGAATTTAGTAGACATGGTTGATATGCACTTGCATGATAAACAGTCAGTGTGTAAAGTGTTTAGCCTTGGACGCAGGCAGAGAATATTTGTTAGGGTATCTGATGTTGATCAAAAGTCCAGATGACACCTTATACTGTCATTTAAGATGGTTAGTGCACCACTAGATTCATGTGTCAACTATTATAACTATCATGAACTTTACAACCCTTGAGTAGCAATGTAATCCAACCAAGATTGATCAAGCAGACTTTTGTGTGTGCAGCAACAATCACGTAATCATCTGATGATCTGTACAATAACCTTAACTTGTTATTATTTCTCTGCCCTACCTATGGACATCAATGTCCAACCAATTAGTTCAGTGTTTTTATCCTAAAAGGGAGATATTACTAAACCTGTTCCCCCTTATCATTGAGGCCTATCAAATAGGAATTTCCTGTTTAGGATGATCTTCACAGTTAGTGAATGGATGTTGGTGTTGAACATTCACTTGTCAGGTACATAGAAATGTTGCCATGAGAACATCATTTATACTTTATTTTTTTCTCTTGTTTGCAGTGTTTGTAAACATGTTTTGTTAAGACTGATGCCTTTGGGATTTGTATGCAATACAGCAGTTTGTATGATTTCATGGCAGTGACACCACACCCCCACATGCAGGATTTGCCATGGAGGTGAGACATAATGCAAGACCGAATTCCAGAGAGGGACTAATGTTAAGGGTATAAAAGTAAAGTTAAATACATGATGAGAGGGGGGTTTCACACAGGTAAAACCGGTTTGCCTCAGATTGTGTAGTAGAGTGAAAATTTATACAGATTATATAAATGTGCAAAGATTAATATCTGTCAGGATGAAGAATGTCTCTGAAGTGACGTCTTTTCATCTGTATGCTTACTATGGAATGGAAAAGCTGAAGCCATTGTACTTTTTCATTTTCCTTATGATATACATCACCATTATTGTTGAAAATGTCATCTTAATCGGTGTGATTTATCATGAAAAAAGCCTGCATGAGCCCATGTACTTATTGGTGTGTAACTTGGCAGTGAATGGTCTGTATGGAAGCACAGCTTTACTGCCAGCAGTCCTGAGCAACCTGTTGTTACGCTCATATGACATATCTCTGGCACTTTGTCAGACACAGATCTATGCAGTACACACATATGCCATAACTGAATTCACAATTCTTGCAGCGATGAGTTATGACAGGTATGTGGCCATTTGTTATCCACTGCTTTATCATGCCATCATGTCACAAAGACTTGTTAAACTGATTGTTTTTACCTGGCTCTTTCCCATGTTTGCCTTTTTAATTGTTTTTATTTTCACTCTTCAGCTGAGGTATTGTGAAAGAACAATTGAAAAGTTGTACTGCATGAATTACATTTTAGTCAAACTGGCCTGTTCTGATACGTCGATTGTCAACATAATCGGTCTGTTATCTGTAGTTGTGTACGCAGTTCCACAGATTTGTATAATATTTTATTCATATGCACACATCCTAAGAGTATGTGTAGCGTCATTCAGCAAGTCCAAGCTCAAAGCCCTCCGGACATGCACTCCCCACCTACTAGCAATAGTTAACTACGCAATAGGTTGCTTTTTAGAAATAGCACTAAGTCGATTTAACACAACTGGCCTTCCTTACCAAACCAAGTTGTTTCTGTCTTTGTACTTTTTGATATTTCCACCAATTCTTAATCCAGCCATCTATGGGTTGAGTATTCAGCTCATAAGAGCACGACTGTTCAGGCTTTTAAGCAGAAAAAGAAGGATAGAAGCAAACTAGTAAAGATTAGAGTGATGTTGCTGCTCTGCTTCAAAATGTGTTCTGAAACCTATGGCATGTGAAGTCTTTTGTCTCTCCTTTTTATTTAATCCCTATTGCTTTTTCATTTACTGAGACAAAACTATACCAGACAGCACAAAGAAAAAGTAGTGTTAATTCATGTTATACCACGTAGAATTCCTGTTGCATAGCTGACTGAAGCTGAGACTTTGTGCATATGATGAATTGAGTGTTAATCAGTTTGTGTAAACCTTTGCAGGACAATAGATTATAATGTATTTGTACAGACATTATTTTAATCTTCGCCTCACTGCTTATTGAGATATATCACTAGAATGTTTCTTTTTACTGAATGGTCAAATATTTTTGGTACAAGTAAATGCAAACATTGACTAATTCAAATGTTTACCTTTTGACGTCCAGTCTTATGTTTTTTAGGTATTAGATCATGCAAATTTAATCTGAAGTGTAGTGTTCAGAGTACCTTAGTCACATTACTGTAACATCATTTATATAAACTCATTTCAGGCTGCCTATATGTGCATAGAAATATTGAGCTTCTTTCAAGTAGAAAGCTTGATATCAATTCTAACACAGATATGTGTAGAAGTTCTTCTTGAATAACTTGCTAAAGTTATTAAAGCATATTATCATGAATCATCAATTGTTGCATCTGTTATCTCGTGTTGTTCACTGAAATATTTTAGTTACAAAAAAATCAGGAAGGGATCTTGATAGGAACTTTTGAAAATTGGCATTGAATGTTGAATGTGCAATAAAATGTATGGGAAAGAAGATTAATTTCACTGCATCACAGTTTCAAATAACTTTTTACATGTCATATGAATGATAAAATCTTTAATTTGTGCCAAATCCTATGAGTTTATAAACACAATGACTGTAACATTTACCATTATTACCATTTAAGATTATTTCACCATTTAATTAGTGGGACCTAATTGCTTACCAATTTAAATAACATTTGCACTTTTAGCAACATTTTCTATCATTATCCAAAAAGATAAAGGAACTTGGAACAATTTATTACTGTTTCACATTGGCACATTAATTGTATATATAATAAAATTAGGTTTACTATTTGATATTTGTATACATATAAATAGAACACTGTCTTTTTATTAATCCTCTTCTGCATGATTTCTTTTGTTAATTTAATTCTATGGCGCCACCTCATGGCACAAATGTGCAATGTCAGTCAATTTCCAATCGTACGGTAATATGTTTCATTTATAAAAATATGCTTTCTACATTAAAATGACTTCATATCACAAGTAAAACAGCGGCTAAAACTGAAGCAGTTTTGTGAGCATTGAGGGTTAGGGTCATTTTACTGTTTGGTCTTGTTTAGTCTCTTATTTGAATTGAGTTTATAATGTCTGTGTTTGTATAGTATCATTGTTTCTACATTTTTTTAAGTCTAATGATTTTGTTTTAATCCTTGAAGCCTATAGCCAGGGACAGGGCTTGTAAATTAGCCACGGCTTGAAACCTGTATGGCATCTTCTTTGTTTTTAATATATGAAGCAATGTTCACAGCATTTGTCCCTGTTAAATAAACAAATACAAAATAAATACATTAATTTTCTATTCTTGTGGCCTACACTAAAAAAAACTAATTCAAATATTAAGCGGTAGTGGAGGAGGAATGAAGGGATAACAATGGAAATCTACAGACCATACAAAGAAACACAAAACTGAATAGCAATTACAGCAGGCACGCAAACAATTGAAACTATTTCTATGTGTTATTTTATAATTTCAGATTATCAATACTAAACGTTCTGTTGTTGTGCTCCAGTTTTAAAGGGATAGCTTGCTTTCTGTATCATCCCTTGTCTTGGAAACGTTCAATGTACTTTCACAATCACTGAGGCACAGCTCAGATGCATGGAGAGACATGAAAAATGAGTGGACTGCCTGCATTAATCACATAAAATCAAATAAGAAAACAAATCTAATTCAGCTACACTTGGACAACTGACCTGGAGAGAAAAGCCTGGGGAATTGGTTTCAAGGCACAGCACGCTGTTATTTCTTATTTTTATCTTCTTTAGACTGTTATCTCAACATAAAAGTAAGTTTTTTGACTTTTCACTTGACCCTATGCTGTCACCAGCCCCTAACAGGAAACTAGTGCAGCCAGGATTTCAGGGCGACCTGGTACAATGGGGCCCTATGGATGTGTATGTGGGAGGAGATGGCCACAAACAATAGATTAAGACTTAACAACAAGACACAATATAATTGTATTCTGTAATATATATATAATTAAAAAATGCATAGTTATTCCTAATACATTTTGTCTCATATTTTTTATCTTACATATGATTTACAAAATGAAACTCAGAGTTAATCCGCTGCTTTCAACAATATTGTTACCTATGACATTGTTTTTATTTCATTCTAAAAAATTAAAGCATTGTCAGTTGTGAAATATTAATGAACTAAAAAACAGTATTGATTTATATAACCTTGAGTTCTTAGAAATTAAATATACTTCATATAGTCTATTTGTATATCGGCCATACATACAGTATATCGGTTGTAGTTTTTTAAATATATTTCAGTCATATAAAGATGGCGTGTAGTCACCATATCGCCTGCTTTTAAAAAGAACCCTAGTTACTCCAGAGGATCCACTGGATGAAGGGATAGTTTTTATAATACCCTAAGTATGATAAAGTGTTAAAAAAAAACTACAATAGCTATTTTTGTTGAATGATTTATCAAGCAACCAATGAAGCTGGAATACAAAACAATTCTTATGATGGCTTAAATGTGTTTGAGGTGAATTAGGATAATAACCATGCAGACATGTTTATACACTTATACATACACTTATTTCACCTCATTATATATAATGACATTTGATTTTAAATGCTGATTACAAAGGATGATTTCCACTTTTACACAAAATGACTGTGAACCTGTGAGCTTAACACCTTGCAACTAAAAACCTTTGTGTCACACTAAGCATCCCCTGGGGACAAAGTTTGACCTCTTATCTCTTCGCTGATCTTGTCCTGTGCTTGTGTAAGTTGTGTTTACTCGTGAAAAATCACCTTCTGCCAAGTTTGAACCGTCAAATGTATCCCCAACTCTGAATCTTGGCTGTAGAAAATGACACCAACCCGCTGAAAGCCATGAATCGCCCTAATGTTACATTAAACTGTAAAGACAACAATAAAACTAACGTCCCCATGCCTGAAATCCTAACGGTACCTGATGTCCTCCTGGCGCTGCTGTCACTCTTTTTTAAGACACAACGTTTCTTGTCCAATGGTCTGTCGTAGCCCAGCCACAAAGTGGGATAAGAGTTTTCCTTCGTTGGCTTCATTTCCCACATAATGTAATGAACACAGGTACAACGTTTTTGGTGGTCCTTTGGGATTCATCATCTGCAGGTAAGCGATGGAAACTGTAACGTGTCACAGGAACAATCCCGTTTTGTCTTCGGTGCATGTTCAGTACACCGCTGTTCAAGCCACAAATTTGGCTAAGTCTGGTTATTAGTACAACCGCGAACAGCTCAACAGGTAACAGAACTCCGCAGGGACATTTTGGATAAAAATAACTTGTGACATATAATATAACCTAAATTAATATATAACAGTAAAACATCTGACAAAAAATAAAGCAGTATCTGCAAATTAGAAGACGATTCTTTTCAAAAGAACCGCCGTTGATGATTAGCTAGTTAGCCACTGTAAGGAACTAGCTTTTTCCTACTTCCGCTGTATCACCTGAAGTTCCACCCATAATCACTTCTACAGTAGCGGCAACGAGAACAAAGTGGATAATTGTAACTGGTGTTAGACTGTCATGAAGAATTGCTTTTTTGAGGCAGATGTGGCACAAAATTTGCGTTGTGGCCTAACTCGTGGTGAGAGAAGAGTTGAGAGTTAGATCAAAGCAACTTAGCTAATAGATTGCTTTAAATGAAAATAGAAATAGAGTTATTATGGTAGTCATCTTTTCCTGGTGATAATTTCGTTCTGAATATTTTTCTTTTAAAATGTCAAAGTGGTGTAACGTTTAAGGTTGAAACAGGGACCTTTCGCGTGTTAGGCTACAATTAGTTAATTTAAGACAGATAGTTAATATTTTTAAGAATTTCAACCTCAATATTGAGGAGGTGGGCAAACACATTGTGTCAACATTTGTAATCACAAAGGGTACACACTTTTGGAAAGAGCTGAAAGGCCGAATCAATGATCAAATAAAATGTGAAAAGCACAGGTTTTGCAGAATGAAAAAAATAAAGTGGACAAACTTAAAGAACGGTTGTTCAATCTGTGGCATCTTAAATTCTGGTTTAAAAAAAGCTCTGTCAAATACAGCTTTTTCATGATCAGGCCTACCTCTCATCCAGACGACGTTACAGCACTGACAACAGCAACACTTCTCTGATATGTATGAGTGGATACCGTTAATAGTTATTTGTCTACATCTAGTGGCCAACTCTTATTCAGCAGAAACCCACTGATGACTGACATCCTAGTATATTCTGTTCATTATCTTAAAACTAAAATGGTACTGTAGTAATAAAACATAGGATTAGAATTGACTTTGAAAGTTTTATTAATAACAAAAAATTTAACCCAAATTCAGTAATTACATTTATGGCAAATTTACCATAAAATCTGCCATAAAATAGTGTTAACTTGAGGAAAATATTAAAAACCTGGTAACTCCTATTACTGCCCCAGAACACTCAGTGGGGATTCTTGGGTCAGTTGGGGCCCAGCAGAAATTCCCCTCTAAACAGTGTTTATCCCCATTATGTTATAAATAATCTGACACCAACAAAAACAGTTTTGTTATTAAAGTGTCCCATATTTAGGGCAAGACAAGCATCATTAAGTCAATTACTATTATATGCATGAGTGCTGTAAAATGGGGCCCCCTTAGGGAGGTTTCCTACTGTCATTGCAAACTTTGCACATTTTGAGCAGGGTTGCAGTTTATCAGCCTTTAGGTGCCCCCTACTGGCCAGGGGCCCCAAGCAGTTACCTGCTTTACCTGTTGACAAACAGCGCCTCTGAAAACACTGACTGAAATGACAGCAATCCTGACACTCCTTACCTGCCTTACCTCACTCACCAATGCTTTTATGAATTTCTTGCCCTTCACTTCCCAATCAGCAACACTACTGAGCAAGCCACATCAAACAAACATAAAGCAGTGGGTGCCGGTAACCTATGTGGTAAGTGCGTGCACCCCATGTAAGCTACAGACGTTTAAGTCCTCTTGAGTGGGCTACCCGGGTTCGAATCCGACCTGTGGCTCCTTTCCCATATGTCATGTCTGTAATATTTACAGTCTATGGTCATTCCCACTCTCGCTCTCTCCCAGACAAAGGCGCTGCTAGTCAACAGGCAACTGATTGGGGCCAAAGACCAGTAGGGGCCCCAGAGGGCTGACAAAAGTTAAACTAAAGCACCAAACCATAATGTGCAAATTTTGCAATGACTCTTATTGCCCTGCTGAAGACTGGTTTTAGGGCCCCCAAAAGGACTGTAGAATCACCACTGCTCCCAGATTTCTAGCTATTTCCCTATCTCTAAACTACAAAACTACAAAAAAAAACAAAAACAAAAAACATAAGGCATGTGGTGTGACTTTTGTTGGCTTTCATCCTGGCAGGATGTGCAAAGGGAACGATTCTCTACTAGATGTAAGTTTCACCAAAGTTAAGTTCTGGGGAGGACTTTGCTATAAGAGATTGAATTAGTGTCCACCTTTTATGTATTCTCAATTGCCTCAAACTTGCAATTTATTATAATATTCAGATTTTTCTGCTGTTGTCAGGTGATGTAAACACAGGTCTTTTGAGCACGTTTTACAATGCAATAAGATAAGCATTAATTACTAGCGTAAAGTTTTGTTAGCAAACAGTATGTGGTTGATGATTACTGTGAGGACCTTTCAGTTTGTATTGCTTTTGGTGACCCCATATGGACAAAGGGGAAGGCTACCTCTTATTTCTTTGGCCTAATCCCAATCTCTAACATAAAGCCTTAGCACTGATTGTTTTTACTGAAAAACACAAACAATTGATCAATCCTTCTATCTTAAATGTATTTGCATTTCCTTTTCACATCACTGGCACTTTGATTCGATTTTCTTATGCTACAATACACAAACACTTGTTTTTAGTGGGTGACTGGGCGATCATGTCACAAAAAGGGCACAATTTGCTGTTTACAGGTTTACATCAGAGCCCTCACTCACCTGACGTCATCACAGTGGGACAGCACTAAGCACTCGTAAACTTACCCAGAACGCACCTCAAAGTCTGAAAGTGTGAACTTTGGGATATAGCCTTTGCTGAACTTGTCCTGTAGATGTTGTTTATTAACATAATAATCTTCTTTTTTTTTTTTATTACAGTCAAATGTTTATCAAGAAACTGCACTGTAGAAATTACACAAAAAGGCAGCTACAGCTTGCTGTTAATGAATTAATGTGAAACCTACTTACCTAATATAATTGTGTTCTAGTCTATTCAAGTCTGTTTCATAACCAGTAGCCTAAAATAAATCCTCAAAGGAACTTTAATGGATTATAACAATTTTGTGTTCAATCATGAAATTCAAAGAAACTTTTAAACTTATTGTTTATAGTATAGAGCTAGAAATATGAACTAAAATAATTTCAACACACACAAAAAATAATAATAGGCCTACAGTTTATTGCAGTATTTTTTTTTGTAACTGTAATGACCGAATTTCCCTCTGGAATTAATAAAGTCACCTATTTCTTTTTCTTTTTAAGAATATATCTTTATTATTTTTAAATTGAAAGACAACAAGCAAGAAACACTTACATCAATTACCGTGTTTTAAACAATACAGGCAAGAAAAAGAAAAAACCTACAACCAACCCACATAATGCAAAATTAAGCAAGCATATAGCACAAAATGGTGGTGAGGGGGGGGGGAGAGAAAAACAGACAAGAGAAATACTTAAAACAAACAGGAGGAGAAAACATAAATAAAGAGCAAATTTAATTACAATAACAAGAGATTACAAAATGAATTACAAATAAACTGGCTACATGACCAAGACTTCAGGCAGTAAAGAGTAACAGCTTGATTAAGGGTTGAAAACAGGTTGAGTACCGGCCTCTTTAGGAATATCTGTCCAAATAAGTCCATAAAGGCCTCTTCGCAAAGTCTGTGCTTTCTGTACTCCAATATAAGTTACAAAGGGGTAAAGTATTTCTGATTCTGATTTTGAAATACTATCGGGACAAATTGGGCTTCGTGAACAAATGACCCACAGAAGGGCTCAAAGACCTCCTGTCATATCTAAAAACAACTCTAACATGCGCCTGTTGCTTGCACATTCAAATACATGCAGAGTGAAGGCTCTTTGTTGTTTTCGCTTTTTTTTTTCTCCAATGCGCCCTATCCAATGCGCATGCGCGAAGACTCCGCAGGTTAACAGTTGAAATTATGGCCGTCGCGATGCAGACGGAGGATTTTCCTTACTTACCTTCGGGGCTGGCGGAGGGTATGGCCCCTTTCATGGCTTATTCAATGTTTATCTCAGCAAAAACGGCACCTCAATGCGCCTAGTCCCATCGAGAGCTGCTCAAGCGCTTACATGCCTGTGTTGCTGTTAGCTTATCGCATGCTAACGTTAGCCCGGCGTTGAATGGTGAGCGCAGCGGCTCTGCTAATAAATGGTTAGCTGAAGCTAGCTGCAGCCGTTTTCTGCTCCAAGGTCGAGGGGAGCATGTCTGCATCCCATGTTGATTCAGTGAAATTGCATATTGATCCCTGTGCCTGCGGGACAGTGGATGTAGAGGGAGCCATCATCAGTGTTTCTGCAGCAGGTCTGCAGGTGTTAATGCGGCTTTATTTACCTTCAGTCCTGGTCCAGAGTTTGTGCTTGTTGACACATGTTACATTTTAATAATGCAAATGAGCTGTCTGTCTTTATTAGTCAATTTATGTTACCAAGTCCCAGTAGAGTACTTATTATAGTATAAGATACAACAAAGAGTGAGTATATTTCTTTAACTCAATACTTTGTTTGTTTTGAAGCTTACATTAAATCTACCTGTTTCAGGTGAAGTCTGATAAGTTGTTGATGCCACAACTTGCCAGCTTATCATGTTTGCATTGTTTACAAACATTTAAGATAAGATTACTGTAAACTACTAGTAAGCTCAGCCCCAAATTGTTGTTAAATTATAATTAAGAGAAAGTCATACTTTACTACAGGGATTCAATTCAATTCAATTTTTATTTGTATAGCGTCAACTCATAACAAGTGTTATCTCGAGACACTTCACAAAAAGCAGGTCAAATACCTTACTCTTTGTCTGTTAACATTACAAAAGAGCAGGTAAAAAGACCTTACTCATTGTTATGTTACAAAAGAGCAGGTAAAAAGACCTTACTCATTGTTATGTTACAAAAAGCAGGTAAAAAGACCTTACTCATTGTTATGTTACAAAAAGCAGGTAAAAGACCTTACTCATTGTTATGTTACAAAAAGCAGGTAAAAGACCTTACTCATTGTTATGTTACAAAAAGCAGGTAAAAACCTTACTCATTGTTATGTTACAAAAAGCAGGTAAAAAGACCTTACTCATTGTTATGTTACAAAAAGCAGGTAAAAGACCTTACTCATTGTTATGTTACAAAAAGCAGGTAAAAGACCTTACTCATTGTATGTTACAAAAAGCAGGTAAAAACCTTACTCATTGTTATGTTACAAAAAGCAGGTAAAAGACCTTACTCATTGTTATGTTACAAAAAGCAGGTAAAAGACCTTACTCATTGTTATGTTACAAAAAGCAGGTAAAAGACCTTACTCATTGTTATGTTACAAAAAGCAGGTAAAAGACCTTACTCATTGTTATGTTACAAAAAGCAGGTAAAAGACCTTACTCATTGTTATGTTACAAAAAGCAGGTAAAAGACCTTACTTACTTATTGTTATATTACAAAGACCCGGCCTATCCACCATGAGCACTTTAGCAAAGCAGCAAAAGTTACAGTGGTAAGAAAAAACTGCCTTATTAAAAGGCAGAAATTGATGTCCAGGATTGTCCATCTACAGTGCGTGGTGTGGGACGAAGTGCTTTAAATGTAGAGCACTTTAATGTAAGTCCTCCAGGAACCTGAGAAGTCTGTGTGGGAACAACGATCACATTTCCTGATCTCAAAACTTTTTTTACTCTGACTCCTGCTGTACTCTGTTAACTCAGGCAGTTGGCTTTACCTTTCCTGTCTCGCCTTTAAGAAGCTTTTTTTTTTTTTTTTTTTTTAAGATGTGGAACAGACACCTGGATCTTAATGACAAAAGGCCTCAAAACTCTGTTCAACTTTCCAAAGATAGCTTGCCAGTCAATCAATCAATTTTTATTTGTATAGCGTCAACTCATAACAAGTGTTATCTCAAGACACTTTACAAAAGAGCAGGTAAAATACCTTACTCTTTGTCTGTTAACATTACAGAAGAGCAGGTAAAAAGACCTTACTCATTGTTATGTTACAAAAGAGCAGGTAAAAAGACCTTACTCATTGTTATGTTACAAAAGAGCAGGTAAAAAGACCTTACTCATTGTTATTACAAAAGAGCAGGTAAAAAGACCTTACTCATTGCTGTATTACAAAGACCCGGCCTATCCATCATGAGCACTTTAGCCTGTTTTATTTAAGTGAGTGATATTTATTGCATGAGTTAATGCATCAGTTCATCTTCTACATTAAGTCAACAGCATTGAATTAGTCAGGTCTACAACATGTTTCTTTTTGTTTTTTTTCTAAAGTTATGTATTCTAAATTTCAAGTATCTTCAGTGTAACTGTTGTTTGAACTTTATTAATTTTTTTTGAAGTTGTATGATTTTAATGTTTTCCCAGAAGATGATCCTGATTTGAGATCTCCTGTTTCTGTCTTTCCCCCCTGCAGTAAATAAAATGATAAAGGAGCATGGTGACCTGTTTTCTGACTCTCAGTGTAAAGTCTGCAGTGCCGTCCTCATTTCAGAGTCTCAGAAGTTGACTCATTATCAGGTCAGTGAGCGCACAGCCCGTGCTGTTTCAGTGTCAGGGGACTTAACTTTTTTTCTGGGTAACTGGGAGGAGAGCTGCAGAATTTATTGGTTTATACAATTAGAGAAACATTGATGACGTTGTTCTAAGCGAGGAGACTCCAAGGTTACATCTTAAACAGATTGTATATACTGAATCAAAGCTATAGTCAGGAAATAGAAGGTGTGAATCATTGCATCAACTGCTTTGACATTTATAGAATATTTCATATAGTTAATATTAAAAGTGGATAGATTATAAAGTCAAATGTTCAGATTGATCAAGCCATCCATTTTCCACAAGTGATTTTATATAAAACCAAGCAGCTATTATGTAGCTTTGTCTTTTTGGATGGATTAAAAGATATGTTTTCCACCTGTTGAAGTTGTTTAAAAGTATTTGAGTAGCGGCTTCTTTCTGTACAAGAGGATATCAGACAAGTCAACCTTTGTGTTGTTTTTCAATGTAAGTATAATGCAAAAGGGTTGAGATCATATTATGTGTTGTTCACTTTACTTTTTTCAGAGCAAGAAACACGCCAACAAAGTGCGGCGTTATTTTTCCCTCCAAAATGAGAAGGAACAAGCGGTCAAAAAGATCAAGTCTTCGCCTGACGCTGTGAGTACAGAGAGCTCCGTTTGAACTGTTCACGTAACACGAACCATTTCAATTTGCCAAAACAACAGTTGCTCTTCAGTGTCTCAAAAACAAACTTATTTTTGTTAAGGTATTGTGATGTGCAAACTATAAATTGAAAAGCACCCAAAAGTAAAAAGAAAGCTTGAATGTCATTAAACAATTGTACAGTGACATTAGAAATGCTTCACCTTAAAGTGCACAGACATGCAGGCATCCACAGCTACAAATAACATGCATTCAAGTTAAATAATGAAACAACTATTTGCTCAGACAAACTGAGAGAATGCTGTCAGCACTATTGCTGATGTAGAAAATGCATTTTGAGCACAATTCATCATTGTTCTCTTGTGTTTGGGTTCCAGTCTTCTACAACGTAGAGCAGTGGTTGCTAACCTTTTTTTAATTGAAACCCACTCTGCTTTTATTGCGGATAAGCAGACCCTCCCCCATTTCATTGTTAAATCCCAACAGATTAGACCTCCACACATTTGTTCTTACCTAAAGGACATTTGAACACACTATCAAGTACGTGTGATATCATCATTTCGGTTAATATGTGCAAGTCTAATTTTGACAACCCCAGAGAAGGCAAACCCTCGCGTCCCCCCCGAAGAGCTTTGGCCCCAGGTTTGGAGCCAGTGACGTAGAGCATTCAAACTTTGGGCACTCTGTATTTTTGTTTCAGCAAATAGAAATGCACTAAAACATCTGCAGAATGCAAAATAGACAGTTTAAAGCTTTTTTGCTTCAGGAAAGAAATACAGACTAGAGGAACAGTGATCTCTAACTGACAAATGATGCTTCTTGAAGCGTTTCATGTACCTACATGCTTTGTGTGTCTTTATAAACAGGACTGTAACAATGGAGACACAGACCGGTTTAAGAAGTGTCATATATGTGACATGACCTTCTCCTCTCCGGTGGTGGCTGAGTCCCACTACCAGGGCAAAGTTCACGCTAAGAACCTGAGGCTGATCCCAGGTATTTATGAGGTTTTTTTTTTCACAGCCTCCGGCTCTGAAAAAAGCTCTTTATTTCTTTCAATGCTTTTGTTTTATTTGTTTAAATGCTTTACTCGTATGTCTTCCTGTTGTGTCTTGATTGATGTTCATTTGCTTTTGATATGTTGAGCTTTGACTTGTGTCAACACAGAGAGAAAAACTTTGTTATTGGCTTCTGAGTGTTGTGATTTGAGTCAACAGCTCGTCAATACAAAGCACCACACATCCGTTTGTCCACCTTCAGTACAAAAGCACTAAATGTCATGTCGTACTGTTTGCAAGGGGAACTGAAATTCACAGAGCAGAGAAGTAAATATTTAACAGATGCCGTATGGACAGCCAGAAAAGAAAATACAAGTCAAAATGAAGTCTCAAATGATTGATTTCTGTAGAAAGTAGCTGTGTGATAAGCAGGATAATAAGTGAGACAAGACTCTATACTAACCCGTTTGGGTCCTAAAACACCCTGTTCATGTTTCATTCAGCTAAAACAACCTGCTCACTGATTTTTATTCATAAAATCAAACCTTTCTACAATTGTTCTCTGTTCTGCAGGTGTTGCCTCGCAAACACCTCCCTCCCAAACACCACCGACAGTTCAGCCAAAGAAGAAGCCTGCGGAGGATTTGAGCAGTGTGGCAGTGACAGGCGGCAACAACAACAACAACAACAGCAACCCAGATCGTTTCTGCTCCATCTGCCAGGCCTCCTTTAACAACCCGCTCATGGCCCAGCAGCACTACGTGGGCAAGAAGCATCGAAAACAGATGACCAAGCTGAAACTGATGGAGACATACGGGCCCTCCACAGCACCAGGTGGGACCACACAGACAGGAAATCACATAGTTATGTTTTCAGAAGATGCCACTTACAGCTACACTCAAATGAATTCATGACTACATTTCTGTCTATCAGAGAAATTGAATCATCTTCTTTCCTGCATGTCTACAGCTTCCACGCTAAAGGGCTACCCATGCACCGTCTGCAGCATTGAACTGAACTCTGTGGAGCAGTACCAGTCTCACATAAGTGGAGCCAAACACAAGAACCAGTAAGAACACACACGTTGCTAAACATTTCAAAATTAAGAGGGGTTGGCCTGACTACATATTACGTATTAGGGTAGGTACTAACACAGGGGCGAGACTGGTAAGCGGAGCCAGCAGGGGAGAGCAGCACTGTGTGTGTGAACACAATATAAATCCTCACGCAGGAAAACAGTTTAACGTTTTATTTTTCTCAAAGAGACCTTAAAAACAGTCTTATACACCGGTGCGACTTATATTCCGGATTTTACGGTATATCCTCTGAAAATAACTCTGTGAGTCATGACTGATTACAATGGGTGTAACACCCGAGTCCCACTGTCTGTGATGTTTTCCGAGTTTTCAGAGTCCTATCTTCAGTTTGTTTACATCGCCAGGACGGCCGACTGACTCCTCCCCTCTGTATAAAAGTTGTTTAATTGAGGGACTAGAGAAAAGAAGAATAACATACTGTACTCACTGCTTAACTGTGTTTCTAGATCACGCTCATTTCGGGTAAATTCATCTGCTGGATCAGAAAAACGCATTTATAAAGCCTTTAATGAACAGAATTCCAAAACAGAAAATGTGTTTGAACTTTTGTTTGTCAGAAAAAAACAAAAAAACAACATCTCAAATCAGCCTTAAAATGTGTTTTTGTTTTTGTTTTTTACAAGAGTGAAGAAATCAGGCCCGAAGACTGCAGAGAACCAAGAGGCAGCAGAGCAATCGTTCAGTGGCGACGCCGCTGGAGAAAACCAGTACAGCAACACACCTGCAGAAGAGCAGTTTGCAGCGGAGGAAGGAGAAGCATACACGGGAGAAGGTGAAGTGTACACAGCCGGAGGTGAGCAGTACGCTCCTGAGGACACGGAGTACTCAGAGGAGTGCCAGTACACTTGAGTTTGGGCTGCAGAGGTTTTTCAGTCAGGACATAGAATGACACACAACAACCAGCCCCCCCCCCCCCCAGCTCATTAACATCGACCTCCATGGACCTTCAGCTCCTGCCAGAGTCTCTAAGTACGTTTTCATCTTCACCACAGGTTTGGACTCTGAACACCCCTACAGGTCATTTTTTGAAATTTATTTAGGAGTCCCACCTGAAAACAATTTTGTTTTGAGTGTGTTTTTTGTTTTTTTTCTCCGTCACAAAGCTTCTGATGAATTGATAAGAAAAGCTGTTTGACCTCCAGAGTGTGATCGTGACCTACAATCATGATGAAGGGCAACTTTGAGGGTTCAACAGGCGTCTACAGTTTGAAAATCTTTCTCAAATGATTGTACATTAAGGCTGGCTATCTACATACCCAGACTTTTTTGTACGCTAGTTTGTTTTTTGTTTTTATTTTTGTCCTTTTCCTTTCATTTGAATCTTATAATTTTCAGGGGAAGCCAATGGTTTCACATGTTGAAAGTGTTCTGTAGGAAAGGAGAAAGAAAAGATTTATATCTGTAAACACTAAAACCCCAAATCTGATCATACATTCTATGCAAGCTTTAAAATAACTGTACTAGGAAGATATCAGGGCGGTAGTAACATTATACACACCTTTATAGTGAAGTTTTCTCGTCCAAGAGGCCATTTCAAATCTATACATTTACACACCTGCTGACACACACTCTAGTCTGATGCTAATATTAACTCTGCGACATACTGACACTTGTTCACTACTAAATCCACCCAGCGCTTCATCAGATGATTCCTCTGGGAGAATGAACATTTAAAAAGGGAACCAATGTGAGATCATCAGTCAGAGCGATGAACAAGAAGCTGCATCACAAGTTTGAAGTCTTCAGTATTTCAGAAGCACTCGATACATTTACATCTTTTCATGAGGTGCAGAGTGGAGGTTCTTTCCCACTAAAGATCTTTGACCAGAACAGACACCAGCTGAACAAAAGTAAAATTTTGGCCTGTTATCAAGTTACTCAGAGAATGATCCCTCGCATGACAGCTGAGAAGAAGTGCTCCGTGTTAAAGCTTTGAGCATCATTCAAATGATCAGCCTGTCATCTTAAAAAAAGACACTGCGTGGGTCCTGTGCGATGTGAATCATAGGTGCCCTCTTGTGGTAGTAGCAATAATGACAGGAGTGTATGTGGCCGATGAACCAGTGTGTGTATCTTGCTAAGTACCTCAAATGAAAGGCTACATTTAAGTTTTATATCATGAAACCTATGGAGTAACATAACGACTACTATAAGTACTTATAAACCATGAAACATGAATGAGACAGTCTCACAGTGTTAAACACGGCTGCTCTCAAAAGGTCAAATATTTGGTTTTGGGAGTCATTCTGTTATAAAGGAATTGTGAGGTCAGAACAGAGGACTTCACTAAAGAAAAATCTGTCTGATATGAATTTCTAGGATTGGCTCAGAATGCTGATTTTACAGGAGGATCTAAGTATAAGCAAATCTATAAGTATTAACAAAACCAGGAAAATGTCATAACTGAAAACAAGCGCCTTTTTTTGGGGGGGGGGGAACTCTGTTGACCCAAAAACCTTAAGATTAACAATGCGGAGCACCAAGGCCTTGAGGAAAGCCCGCTCCTTCCACAGAAGGAATGACCTCTTCTGCAGGGCAGCAGAGTCGCACGCAGCCGGATGCTCCACTGACACCGACTGTCAGCTCCCCCCTGCTCTTTATACTCTGCCTCTGAATGCAGAGCGGGCTCAGGTGTGCTCGACCGGTGGCTGCAGTAAGGCTAGGAGCAGCACCTGGAGGGGTCAGAGAGAGAGAGAGAGAGAAAACAAAAAAGAACACGCAGCACTACAGCACATTAAAGTCGTTAAGCCTGTATTAATAACGCTAACATCTAGTAATCAAACTGCATGTAAGCAATGAAAATACAAAAGTAAGCTGCTTCCCAGTTCATGTGACTTTTTCTTTAATTCTACTGAATATATATTTGTTTTAGTGTCTTCAGTGAATGTATTCAGACACAACCTCACGTCTTGTCTCTTCTAACTGCAAGCTGCATTATTCTCCTACTCTGGTGTTGAAGAGGCTGTGACATTTTGCACATTCAGATCCGTCACTGTAGCCGCTTCAGATGTCGTAACCATCCGGAGAGAGAAAAGAAAATTACAGGTCAGCTCAAAGTTTGTAAAAGTTGAACTCAGTTTTCTGGTTTCATTTAAGAGCATTTTAATTTCAAGCTTAAAGAAACCTCTCCAGAAGTTTGTTTTTTGATTGTTTTACGTGATTTCAACTTCTGTGCACATTTCTGAGTACCTTTGGATAAAAACATTTTCTTTACATGTTTCATCTTATCCTTTTTTTTTTTAACTGTTTTTTACTGGCCAACTTTTGTTCATTTCCTGTTGACTGTGAGATATGGCCATCTGATGGTTGCATAAAAAGGAGAGAACTGTTTAACTGTAGGACACTAATATGAAGAAACAAATGGAGGCTCCTCATTCATCGCTGAAAGTTACAGACGCTGCTAAAGGGTTAATTTGACCTTATAGAGTCTAAATGAGATCCTCTCAAGCTTCAAAAAGTACCCGACAAAGTCAAAAGTAAGCATTTTCTACATGTTGATGTCATTTTATATAAATAGTTTCTTTCTCAGTTTTCAGGAGTTTGGAAAGAATGGAAAAAAAAAGAGGGCAAAATAGGATCATGGTGAAAATAAAGGAATAGTATCCTCTGGTTTCAAATGCAGTGGATTCATTACAGCTGTGAGATGAATGAACGCTAAGCTTTTTTGTAATGAGTTCAATTCTGAGTTTATTAAAGGGTGAAGATTTTTAAAGATTTTTAGCCGTACAAACGGGGCGTCATGAACTCTAAAAGAGACGTACGGTAGCTGCTCTCTGAGCTCTGTAATTACTGTCAATAGCAGAGAATATTTACCGCAGAGATCTTTAAAAGTGATGTCAGATTAGGAAGTGATGTCAATATTAGAACAACTTTTTTTAGTCCGTTTGTCCTCGTACAGGACGTTGAATATTTTAGTACTGAATGTCTCAAACCTTCCAGCTAAAGAGAAAAAAAAATCTTTTTTTTTGGATGTTATTTATACAAAGAGGGCTCATGCATATTGTCGAGTACATGGTGTGTTAAAGACTAAAGGCCTTTCCTGTTACACCCTCATCTTTTTGTGTGTTAGCTGTTTTGTGGTTACGATTTTTCTTTCACTATAAATTGTGTACAACTGAGGGGGAAAAAGATGCCGCAAAGATGTGCTTAAGTAAAGAGATGTTTTAAGAGAAACAGTGTGGACATGTTTCTATTTTGTGAACACATTTATTGTATATAACAATCAAATGAATTTCTTATACAAATTAAGGATGTTCAGAAACACAAAGTAGTTTAGAAATTAGACCTTAACATTGTTTGTCGACCAAACAGCAGTCACCACATTTGTAACTCTATGTATTGGTTAAAATGGTTTTAAATGTGTATTTTAAAATGAGGTTTCCTGATGTAGCTTTAGGTGATTATCAGGGGAAGTTTCTAAAGGTAAGTGGAGTTGCCTTTCAGAAAATCTTTCTTTGCTGTCTGTCCAATATGTCATGTCATCAAACATCTGTCCTGCAACTTAAGGTGCTGTTAATGTGACGTTGAAAGGTCTTACAGCTACATATTCCTATGAGGCCTTACCACCGATATCAAGAAAAATGAAGGAAATAGATTTGTTGTCCAGATTGATTATATACTGTAACAGTGATGACTCGTTGCTTAAACGGAACGGTGTGAGCAGCAGATTCAAGCTCAGAGTTTTCAATTAGATGTTCAACAAGCACGTATTGACCACAGACAAGTCAAACAAAACAAAGCCGTAACTCTCAATAACTAAATGTTCTGAACATACCCTGTGATTCAGACTCAGTCCACATGGTGGTGCTCTTACTCTTTGCTCGTGCTGGATCAGCAGCAGGGTGTCTTGGACTCTGCTCATGACAGAAGCTCATTCAGGGTTCAGGCTCAGTTCTCCTCATTTGACCCTGTTAACAATGAGCACACTGAAACAATAAACATGCACTTTTTTTTTCTTTAATAACATTAATCAATCATTGTATACTAAACATACTTATACTTTAAACTTACCAACTTCTAAAATAGCTTTGATGCATACTTAACTCTTTTTTTAGAGCGCTGTCTTGGGACATTGGAAATGCACGGAGCCCCTGAAGTCCCAAAAATAAAATATAGGCACGGTGTTACTGTTTGTCAAGAGGCTAAAACCCGCCTCTGCTCCAGCTCTCTGTTTTTAAGTCGACTGAAAGTTAGGTTGAGATAACATTTCCAGCATGGCAACCACCATTGACAGGCTTCAAAAGCTCAATGCAGTAACCAATTTGTGATGTCACTCAGCCTTAGTCCACTGTTATTTACTGTCGTGACTAAAATATGTTAAAAATAAGTTTGTTTTCCTTGGTAAAGTACTTTATGTTGTGTTATGTTTGAGAAATTATCCCAAATTCATATCACACTTTTGAGAGGATGTTGATCTAGCTTCATTGTCGTGCCATCATTTATCTCCATAGCGTAGTAGCTTTTAGCATTTAGCTGTTAAAGAGACAGATATTTCACTTTTAGGCATCGGTAAAGACCAAAGTAGAGACACTAGACTCAGAGTGATCAGTTGGCAAAAAGCTTCACAGTTTTAGATTTTCTTAGAGCAAACTCTTACAGTTGCTCCTCGCTGCTGAAATTGTGAATTCCTTGTTAATTGACATATGACCTTAAAATACAGTTTTTACTGTTTAATTCTGCTGTCCCCAAGTGGACATTTTCTGCAAGTGTAACTATATAATAGGTTACATGTTCAAGACTAATATTTCTCTTTGATCAGAAATAATTGACAGTGTCTTTATATCTTTCAGATTTTTCTGATATTGCTGAAACCTGATTGATGCCGATAAATCCATGACATCAGTGTTCCTTCAGGCCGTGTCAACTTCTAACCAGGGAAATACCTTCCTATAACTGCTCCTACTGGAACAAGAGTTCAACTTCTTTTTTTTATTTAAAGCCATGTCTCTCACACTGAGACTGTGATAAAGATTTCATAGAAATAGGCTCTCAGACGTTTGGACAAGCACTTAGCTCAACAACAACGAGTCCTTTAAACAGAGTTCAGTGTTTTTCCTGCAGTCTGGAGGTGTCACCCGTGATCGAGTGTTTATCCACAGCTAATACAAAGATGAATACATAAAACACACATGCAGGCTGTTCAGAACTCCACACAGCGCTGGTCAACTGGCTGTTCATTTCCAGGCTGAGGTTTCTCTGTCGCTGACCCCCCCCCCCTCACAGTCTTAAATCTTTGAGGTTAATCCCCCAGGAGTGATGCTTCTGGGTCAATTTCAGGTAAACACACTATTATTGCTTTCACCAAACCTTAGTGAACAACAGTGCAGCTGTGTTTGTGTGTCCAGTCGGGAACAGTATGTGATGCACTCGGGGTGACAACAGGACAGTCGGTGAGAGTAGTCAGACGAGACAATTTGTCCTGGTCCCCTGCAGGCTGAATGAGCTTCACTGTTATTGTGATTCTATTAAAAGAGGCATGACAGTATTCAAATGCACCCAGTCTGCTTTAATGCAGAAACTGCATCTTTGTACAGTATCCACTGACAGAAACGATGGAACAAATTGTCTTTCATTGTCAGTTAAATTTTCATTTGTGTCTGGAAAACGGCTTTGCTTGCCAGAGTGTGTTTGTGAGACATTTTGAAATTGTCATGGATCCTTTTATATTTGTCTGGATGCAAGCTTTATGCTAATTTCTAATAATAAGAATTACAGAAGCAGAAGATGCATTCAGGTGTTCTTTTCTACTTTCCTTTCACCTAGAAGAGAAAGGACACTTTGGATCATTTCAGCCAGAGTAAAGGAATCATAAAAGGAACCTTACGTCATGGGAAACAGGGTTTAGTGCTCGGTTAAAAAAAAAAAAAAAAAAACTTGCTTGTTGGTTCTGTGCCTGATGTTCATCCATGCCGTGTTGCAATTTTGCATTTTGCATTTTTTCAGATAAGCAGAATGGCTTCCTAAAAAGTTGTTCATTCACTCTGTATCATTTTTCAAGCCAAAATTGAACAAGATCAGAACTCATGCCCAGACTTGAATCTGGGGTCGTTATACCCTCACACAGAAGAAAATGCTGGAGAACGGTGCCTACGCTGTGTTCTGTCCACTGGTCATCAGTCGCCCTGAGCTGATGATTGTTGATGTTATTGTTATGTGGGTTCTTGTCGCTTACATCCAGCCAAGCGGCAACTTCTAGTGCTGAAAAAAAAAAAAAAATGTGGAAGTGCAAAATCCTGCAGTTCGTCGAGGGTCTGCTTGTTACTGACTTTAAGATCCCTGGAGGTCACATAGTTATTGTCCTCGTGGGCACACACTCTACAGGGGTTGTTTTTTTTATAATGCATCCGTTTTGATTTAATGAACTATCCGTAGTTAGGCACGTAGCTGACCTGATTGACAGGTGGGCCCAGTTTGTCAGGAGATTTAAAACCCGCTCCCGCTCTTAGCCTGTCATCAGGTGGACTTAAAGTTAGGCTGAGACAGGATTTCCAGCATGGCGGCTGCTGCCGATGAGCCTCCAGAGCCCCTTGCCGTAGCAGATGTGTGACGTCACTCAGGCTTCGTCCGTTCATATTTCCAGTCTATGCATCCAGCACATCTGGTGGTTCAGCTTCATGTCACTTTTTTGACAGGACACATAAACTCCAGTAACCAACATGGCTGCTTTAATCAGAACTCTTCTCTGCTTTCAGTGCAGTTACACACAACAACTACAACGGTATCCATGTCTGCAGGTCACAGAGAAGAAACTCAGTACTGTACATGGCTTTGTTTTATTCCAGTATCTTGTTCCATTTCCTGTACTGTGCAGCCCATGTGTTCAAAGGATCAAAAGGAAAATAGATCCCTGTAGTTGCCAAAGGTTTTATGGCGTCTGATCTTTCTTCATCTGATGCACATCAAATGTAAAAGAAAACTTCACAGGGTCTAAATGTGCCTTTTTGTGATCACAGAGGAAAACACTCAGGAGGGATGAAATATAAGACAAAGAAATCTGTGACATTTATGATATGGCCTATAAGATATATCAAATATCTGATGCAGCTGAAGATATATGAAACAGGTTTTAAGGCATTTTTAAACTGCAATTCTGGATAATTAAGATTGGGTTTTATATTTTATTCTTACAGAGAGATCATTTACTTTACCCAAGATATCCTAAGACATCATTTAATGCCTTCCATACTCAAGAAAACTTTGAGAAAACTTTAGAAATACATTCAAATGGCCACCATCACACATCTAACGACAATGTCTCAGCAACTCACAGAGTTTGAAGTCACAGACTTAGGGTTTGCAAAGACTGGGGATCTTGCAGGGTCCCTAATGGCAAGAAATGTACAAATACAACTTTTGAGTAGAAAACAGAAAAGGTAGATAGACTGGTGAAGTTGTGGAGAGAGAAGGAATGCCTCTCTGACGTGTCCTCCCCTTCTTACCACGATAGAAGGAAAAAAGAGGGACAGAAATAGTGGCTGCGGTCCTGGAAATCCAGAGAATAATGAATCAGGTCATATTACCGAGTAGAACCTGGATATCAGCGGCTCTAACAATGGATTTCTAGGGTAATAAATTCCTGGTGAGTATGCTTTATTCAAGGGAGGATTTCAAGGCCAGCAACTTTTTCTGTCCACTTTTTTATTCTCCTCTCTATGTTAGTACAAAGGGGAGGCCACCATTTTCTCCACAGTCCAGGACAACCGCACGTTCCTTCGTTTCCCTGCCGTCTTTACTAGTTTGCAGCTTCCTTTTTGGTGCTGGTGAGACCTCTCCTATTGGCTGTGGACAATATTTACATCTCAATTTGCATATGACAAGAAAAGACTGAAGACCTGTGATAAAGTTAAACAGGTATGATTTTATGACCCCATAACATCAAATGATGGAGATCACAGGAGCGGGCCCGAGCTTCAGAAAAGCCCTCAGGATTTTATTTAGAATTTGGAAATGTGACTGCGACTTTAAAATCACTTCATTGGTGTAAGGCCAGCATATCTGTTATTCAGTTGTCAGTAATGTTTTTTAAATCCGATCACATCCAACCTGTGCAGACACATTACACACTCAGTGTCAACAGCTAGACCTTATTTGCACACATTGCTCAATTGTTTGTGCTTTGGCTGAATGTTTTTTATTTGTCACTATGTCCCACTTGTGTCACTGTGACTGAACAA